TGAGATTCTGGACAAAGTCAATGAGTTACATTAACTCCATTGGAATTATACAATATATTTATCAATAATTAGAGGAGGACATAGTGGCAGAGATGAGATAGACCCTTCCAGCACTCTGTATAAAAGGGCATGTGGAGTAGGAGAAAAACTACCCAACATCACCCACTGTGATCATTTATTCATAAAGGAGTAAAGGATTAGCAACTCAAGGGCTAATCCATCCATTCCAGTCTGATGTAGAATTTGTATCAACAATACCTTATGGCTAAATGGTATTAAAGGTGGCTGCTAGATTTAATATGACCTGCACCACATGGTTTATTCAGTTTTAGGAAGAGATCATCAACAGTGCTACTAAATCTGTTTGTTTTCCATATTCATGTCTGAAATTAGGCTAACCAGAGTCAAGGAGATATGAGCCCTCTAGATATTATCAGAATTGCTTTGCTGTAATCTTCCCAGTAACCACTCCTAAATATGGGAGATTAAATCTCTGTCAGTAGCTTGCAAGATTATCAGTGTTGAATGACAGTTTATTGAACAGGATTTAATCAGTGCCCTGTTGAGCACACCTGGCAACTTACTCTCACAGAGGGCCCAATGTTTCCTCACTGTTCTGAACCAGACAAAACAGACATGATCCAGATATGTGATGTGGCCCAACACAGTTCAGCACTGCATCAAGCTATACTGGGTGAAACTCAAAACCTAGAAGATGCTGCATTTGACCCCTGAGTGTATTGCTCTGAAATCTCAATAGCTGATTGCTCCAGATTGCTGGACAGAGGCAAGCCACAAAAGGTCTGCTGTTCAAGTTTCACAGAGCCTTTGATGGAGGCACAGAACACTTTCTGTGCCTTTAACAGCAGATAAGAGGATAAGGCTTCAAAAATTTCAGTTGCTCAAGCTCTGCCAAGACTTCCACCGCCAATGTTCTGGTCACCTTCTATCTTGCTTTATTTGTTGCAAATCATGTGTAAAGCCATTGTGCCCCAGAGTGAAAGACAGGCAAGAAGGCATTTGGGGTTACTGCATTGGTGGTTGTAAACAGCAAGTACTGCAAAATCCCACCTGGCCTTTGATACTGTGGTCTGTCAGCAAACCAGTAGTTCACTAGAGCTCTCTGGAAATTTTCAGGTTCTATAAACAATCCCATCAAAATAAGTCCCTCATCCAAACAGAATAGAAATATTTCAGCCTCAGGTAGGAATTATTTTGCTCCATGTTATTTTCAGGACCAGATGAATTCCCAGGTATACTCAGCTTCTCCTGGCATAAACTCAGGCACAGAACAACAGAAACAAAATGTGGACTGGGAGGGAGGTAACAAAGGAGAAAAGTAGCTGCAACCTCCCGTCTGCTGAAGTGGACCCGCAGGCAGAACACCCCAGAAACAGGCAGTTTTGGCAGGGGAAGGAACATAGCCAGAGTAGAAAGGGAATGAGCAGTTTCAATGAATTCCTGTTGCCCTCCCACACTGAAAACCCAGAGGGATACTGGGGTGGAATCCCCCAGGGGAATAATGGCTCAGTCCACTGCAGAGGATACACATTATACCTACTGTGTTGGCAGGGTTGAATCTGGCTCACATGTTATTCTAAAGGAAGATAATTTTCCTTCCTTAAGTACTGTGAGAAATAACACTAGTCAAAAAAACTATTCAGTCCAAAGACTTCATACCTTTTCCAGAACAGGCCAGTGCCCAGTGCTGTAAAATGTACAACTTGATATTTTTTTACGGATCTGTTCTCACCAGTAGTGTTCTTATCATTAGTGACAACAGGAGTTACATGCATGCACAGAGCGGGGAAACTGACCCAAAAGTACTCAGCCTCAGGGACCTCAAAAACTAAACCAAAACCAAAATAACCCCCAAAACCTCTAGGACAAAAGTGAGAAAGATCTGTGACAAAATGGTCTCTGACCTTATGAATGACAATTGTTTCTTTCACATAATAAATAGTTTGCTGTCATGAGCAGGTAAGGAGCAGAATTTTAAATCTATATGTAGAGTCTTTCATCTGCATTGTAGCTCCTAAACAAATCCCTTTCTCATACAAAGTGATACTTTTAAGATTGTAACAAAGCTCACTACTCATTGGGTAAGTTTGCATGACTAGGTTATACAAAGATCACAAACATAGTGGTAGTTTTGTTGTTATTATTGATTTATAGTTTCAAATAGCTACTGATATGCCTAACAACAACTGAAATATGAGCCCATGAATTCGATGCAGGGTTTCCCTCATTTTTTAAATGAGGGATATTTAATTTGTAACCATGCAGGATTAAACTCTAGGATGGCATTTTGGGAGGGTGAGGAGAAAAAGCTTTAGGCAGCAGGTATTATAAGATAGCATGGTTCTTTTTAGATGGCAGAAAGGGAAAAAATCCTTTATGAATCACCTAGAAACATCACCAGAGAAACTACTTGAGCTGTTAGTTAATGGTAAAACAAAACATTTCCTACCCATTAAAGTAAAAATCATGTATTGAATCTGACTCCAGAGATGATGCAGTATGATAAGAAAAGCCAAAACTGATATGCAGAATGCTAACTCCTGTGAGGAAATAAGAAGAATGCTTCACTAACGTTGTCATAGTAAACTGGGCTGGTCAATGCTGGGTTTGATGAAGAGATTCAGTTTTCAGAACACTTTTTTCAGTTATTCTTTTACATGTCATTATTTAACTTAAGAGCTTGGTGAAAACAGGGACATGATGAAAATACCCAGTCTCTATTTGGTTTATCAATGACTCTAGAAACTATGCCAGATTGGTCTTTGTTAAAATCACAGGCAGAAAACAAACTAAAGTTTGCCTACTTAACATGATCACTGCCACATGGTAGAGGCCGTTTTACATATGACCTCGCCATTTCTCTTAGTTCCAGCACTGCTTCACCACTCTTCCACTAAAAAACACATTCCCACCAACCCTTCTGACCTACAATACCATGACTACCCACCTTCCTTTGTGGATCTCACCCATAATTCTTCCCAGCCCCAGAACCACACCCCCATTATTTGCTCACCTGCTATCCCTCCAGCAATGTACATACGCATCATACTTATTTCCAACAGATATTGAAGCATGGTAACCAGTACACAATGATTCGCAACCATCAGGAATTGTCACAAATCTAAAAAAATATTCTTTCCCCCTTGTTTACTCTTATAATTCTTCTTTCCTTAATTGCTTCAGTTTGCTTCATTGGTTTGCTTGAAAGCCAACTGCAGTAGGTTTTCCAAAAAGTAAAAGTCATATGAAACATTTATTTCTGCTATTTTACTGCTCCTGATAAATAAAGGCCCGAAACTACAGTCCTTACACAGGCAAATCAACCACTAAGGTAAGTAAATGGCTATTTTACCTGAGTGTGGAGTGCAGGATGTGGCCCTAATTCTTTGTAACAGTTCTGTTGAAACAACAGCAACAAGAAGTTCCACTTTGAATATTGCCTGCTTTTGCCATCTTGTCTGGAACACACTTAAGACAACGTTGTCATGGTAGATTTCATAATTTTAAAAATATTTTTATTCTACTCTTGTTTACAAATAAAATCCTGGCCTGGAAGGATTAACACTGAAAACTGTAGGCCAAATTTAGACTTCATTATGACTGACATCAATGAAAATCTTTCCACTGACTTCAATGGTTATTGGATTGGGCCCTCAGTCATTAGAGCTCTGTCCCGGTACGCCATATCTGAATTTACTCTTGTTTCTTTATCTTTCCCCCCCCCCCCCCCCCGCCACACACTGGTTTATCGTTGTAGGGTTGCTCATGAGCGCCAAACTGCTGACACTGATTTTTTAAATTTTCTTTTTTAATTTTAAGAAAAAACATAGCACTGAAGTATTTGCGACATACACACACAGGCACACGACACACACGGCACACACAAGCATGCACACAAGCAATCTTCAAAAACAGGAGGTCTACATCTTCAAAAACCTACATCTCTTGAGTTCAGGCACCCAGAAATGGAGACATTCCAAATTAATGGATACTTTTTAAATTTAGGCCTTAACCAATTTACACATACAAATGCAGGCGCATGTGTGTTGTGCAAATTTTTCACATGTCCCTCAGCTCCACTCCATGAATCTTTGGTCCCTTAAGAATTACATGGACTTTACAAACAAACAGAGAGGAAAAAGTCAAATTTGGGGTCTGCCAACTCTGAGAGTGTCCTTTTAAGAAGAAATATAAAAAACACATGACATCCCATTATTCCATCAATATTGATGTCATAATAGTGATATGCTAATACAGGGCTAGCATTTCTGATGTTCATACTGATCTTTGATCATATTGTAAACACTCTTGAAAGAAAACTTTTGGAACAGTTATTTACAATGCAAAATTGATTTAAATCACACCATGCTTTTAGAATTGCTGTCAGACAAACAAAAGAATCCTGATGCTTGCATAGCCCACTGTGCATAGAGAAAAGGCTAACCAAGAGCAACCGTACATTCCAGATGTGTGACAGATACAGCAGTAAAACTACAGTAGATAAGTCTGAAGCAACAGCTGCCTATGCAATAGTTGTAAAATGGCATGTGACATACAGACTCAGATTGTCAACATTACATGAAGGTAACTGTATGGATTTCTTTGCCACTAATGTGTAAATACCTGATGTGTGCAGACATGGCCAATTAGACATGTGTCTGACATCTAACTGACTGCATGCATGAGCGCCTCAGGCATTTGCTTCCACATATTGGGTGCACTGCCACATAAGTTAGGCACAAGCAAATATGTGCACACCACTGTGGATTCCTAAGTTTGAGAGTCTGGCCCACAATACTTTTTAAATCAAATGTATTAAATTTACAGACTTTATTGAAATCACACTGAGTTGTATTTCCATATTTCTGAGATAATGGTTTGCCTCTGCATTTTTTTAAAAACAAATTTTCCGTCAATATTATATTCCAGTTGGACCCCGGCTGCATGCAAATACACTTTGAGAGATCATTAACACTAACCTGGGAAGTAGCTGCAGTTGTGTTAGTTTCCTTACCACTCCCAGGTACACGCTCATTGCTTGTTGCGGCTTCTGCAGTTTCTGCCTTCTTTACATTCATTTCCAGAGAAACAGATGGCCCTACTTGGCCCAACCCATCACTCAGCTGGGTCAAACTTGGGCTGCTTGCTTGCCGAGATTTGGCCTTATACCAACTAGGGTAAAACAAGGGATCGATGGTTTCTGCTGTTGATGGCATTTGTGTTTCAGACTCTGCAGTCTGTCGACCACCACTTGGCACCACCTCACCCTTCATCAGGATAGATAAAGTAAAAACAAAAAAAAACACACAAGCAGAGTGTACTATGTTACCTTCCTGTGTTCAGCCCATATTTCTCTGCATGCCAGGTTTGTTTTTATCTCACTGCAAAGAATTTATTGTTTGAGGTCCAAAAGAATGATAACTGAAATACAGAGCAAAAGTGTGTAGCATTTGGATAGTATATCTATGGAAAATACAAATACAAATCCTGCAGCCCCACTCAGCAAAACTTCCCATTAGTTTCAGAGGGAACCTTGCTTGAGAAAAGACTGAAGGAGATGTTCCTTTTATTAATTTCATTACACACTTTGGCCTGATTCTCTTCTCAAGTATAAATTAAGAATAACTCCACCAAAGTCAATGAAGTCACATTATAGTAAAAAATGGTCTGAGAGGAGAATGAGGTCCTTTATTTTTGAGATATTACCTAAAAACTATCCAGTGTACAGAAATGTCTAAGTGCCAATCTGGAGGTTCTTACTCAGAGTTAACTGAGCTCATACTCAGGTGAACACCCATCTCTGTTTAATCACTGAGCTAAACTATACTACACAATGCATAAGAACTTCTAGTACTGGCCTCAGACATTGAAGAGCATATATGTGGGGTCTGACCCACTGCCCACTGAAGTCAATTGGAGTCTTTTAAATCACTTCCTTGGGTTTGCGATTGGGACAATAATTTATTTTTTTAAATAAATATACAGAATTGTATCATTCAACATTGATTCTGTTGACGTGAGCAGGTAGAATAAACAGACTATAATGACAACAGAGATAAATGCTTGCCCACCACACGACTGTTTATATATAATAGATTACTGTAATTATACCTTATCAATGACTGGAGCAACTGACAGAACAGCACCGTCTCTATCAACGTCTTTCCAGACTAGTCAACTGCAGGTTTTGACCGCATGGTACTATTAGTACAGATGACTAGATATAACAACATTTTTACTTTGCTTTCCCCTAGGCCAACAGGAAAAAGCTAAACTGCAAGCATCCTGCACATTGCATCCCCCACATGCCAGTCTGATCAACTCATAATGGCTTTTTTAAATTACTAATGAGCTAGACCAGCATGTCTCTATATTCTTTTTAGCTCAGGAGGTGTTGGACTTCACAAAATTATGAGGCAGTTCAGTTTATAATTAGGCCTGGTCTACATATGAAGTTGCACTAGTTTAGTTAAACTAGTTTAGTTTAATTAGTGCAACTCTGCATCTGAACACTCTGAAATCAGTTTAAATTTGCTTATTTAGATTTAGATTAAGTTGGTAAAGAATCAAGTTAAATAGATATATGCCATTTCTAAACTGATTTAAGAATATCCACAGAGAATAGGCATGAACCTGTGTAAGCCCTCAAATAGATCAAAGAAGGAATAAATCTAGATCATTTATTTCCCCCCTCTCCCTTCTGCTACTGTTAAATCAGAACTTTGCCATAAACATGGACTCTTTATTTGCTTCCTTGTTTGTGCACTACCGTCAATGTGCTGGAGTAAGGACTTAACTGGAGCTGCAGAAGAGATGAATTTGTCCTGCTTGGTAAGTTAATTGCTGATATTGATAGCTGAAGGAGATTAGCAAGTATTGTTTTGGTGCAGATCTCACAAAGTATCAGTCATTGGTGTTTTATTTTAATTGTATTCCAGGAGAGAAAGTACAAAGATATAAAATATATCCTAAATACATGGCTTCAAATATAAAGATATTTCAAATCCAGAACATGTTTGGGCTGCCATTTCATAACAAGCAGCCTTACTTCTCTGTATCTAACATGGAAACATGAACTTCTAAATGATATCCCCGACCCCAGTGACAAGACCACCAAGGGAAGGTAAATGTCATTCATAGGAACAAAAGATTAGTGAGGTCAGGTAATATGGCTAATGAACTCTTCAGAAGGCATGCTAAAGGTGAAGTTCTCTGGTATACATGTTTTTACTTCTCACCTCAGTTATTATAACTGTTAGTTTCTACTAAGCAAAAGAACAAACAACAAAACTGAGCATCGAGTTGTCAGTTCTTAAGGGTTTTAAGCCTTAATAACCAAATGTTCCTTGATTTACATAAGAGAACACCATTGTTGTTTTTTTAAACCAATGAACTCACACACATACACAGCTTGAATATAAACAATGGCAGTAAAATCTTTGCTTTCTTCCTTGAATGAGCTATATTTTTGACATGTTTCTGACATATGTTTCAGCATCTATCGGGTCAGATTAGGTCATTCATAGTGCTCTAGAATGGAGGAAACATTCAGCATAGCTGATAGGATGGAGAATGGTTGGGTGCAATTACCTGACTAAATGAGGCACCTGGTGATAGTGAGGGGGCTGGTTCAGTCTGAGGGTCTCCTGTTGTACTCTTGGGTTCTGAGTCTGGCTGAGATTGCTGGGATACTTTCTCAGCTACCTCTTCCTCCTCACCAGATGACTCTGTGCGGACTTCATCAAACTCTTCACCTTCCATCACATCCTCATCTTCCTCATCACCCTCCTCCTCTAATAAACATTCACATAAGCACAGCACTAGGTTAACACAACAATACATGGGGTATGCTCTTTATACAACGCAGAGATTTAGAAATATGAAGTTACTGTGGTAACTATACAGTAGGTCTATTGATAGCAAAAAGGCACCCAAAGTGACATTTTTTTCAAGGGACAGTACAACTTGTGCTTTAATTCCAGCTGATGCTCATAAGGGCAAGACTGGAATCTGCCCTGGATGCATTCAAAAGGAAGGAAGATGATGCAAGAGAGAGACAGAGACCAAGGAGGAGCTGTCTCCCCACACGTTGCATCTCTGTGCACAGGCCTTGAGCACGAGGACTGGGCAAGCCGGCCAGAGCCATCAACAGTGTTGGCTCCCCACAGGTGCTGGAGACAGGCACACAGACTGTATTCTGCCACAGGGTGTTGCAGCAGTTGCATTCCCCCTGCCTGAGGTAAAAAAGTAGAGCTGTCGATTAATCACAGTTAACTCACGAGATTAACTAAAAAAAAATTAATTGTGATTAATCACAGTTTTAATCACATTGTTAAAAATCCAAAAATATTTAATACATTTCAATTGGTATTCTGTTTTCTACATTTTCAAATATATTGATTTCAATTACTACACAGAATACAAAGTGTACAGTGCTCACTTATATACACTGCTTATATTATTGATTACAAATATTTGCACTGTAAAATGATAAACAAAAGAAATAGTATTTTTCAGTTCACCTCATACAAGTACTGTAGTGCAATCTCTTTGTCGTGAAAGTGCAACTTACAAATGTAGATTTTTTTTTGTTACATAACTGCACTCAATCAAAACAATGTAAAACTTCAGAGCCTACAAGTTCATTCAGTCCTACATCTTGTTCAGCCAATTGCTAAGACAAACAAGTTTGTTTACATTTATAGGAGATAATGCTGCTCACTTCTTATTTACAATGTCACCAGCAAGTGAGAACAGGTGTTCGCATGGAACTTTTGTAGTCGGCATTGCAAGGTATTTACGTGCCAGATATGCTAAATATTCGTATGCCTCTTCATGCTTCGGCCACCATTCCAGAGGACATGCTTCCATGTGTATGATGCTCGTTAAAAAATAATGCATTAATTAAATTTGTGACTGAACTCCTTGGGGGAGAATTGTATGTGTCCTGCTTTGTTTTACCTGCATTTTGCTATATATTTCATGTTATAGCAGTCTCGGATGATGACCCAGCACATGTTCATTTTAAGAATACTTTCACTGCAGATCTGACAAAACACAAAGAAGATTGTGAGCTTGTGAGATCTCTAAAGATAGCTACAGCACTCGATCCAAAGTTTAAGAATCTGAAGTGCCTTCCAAAATCTGAGGGATGAGTTGTGGAGCATGCTTTCAGAAGTCTTAAAAGAGCAACTGTCCTATGCGGAAACCACAGACCCCGAATCACCAAAACAGAAAATCAACTTTCTACTGGTGGCATCTGAATCAGATGATGAAAATGAACACGCATTGGTCTGCACTACTTTGGATTGTTATCAAGCAGAACCCGTCATCAGTATGGATGCACGTCCTCTGGAATGGTAGTTGAAGCATGAAGGGACATATGAATCTTTAGCGCATCTGGCACATAAATATCTTGCAAAGCCGGCTACAACAATGCCATGAGAATACCTGTTCTCACTTTCAGGTGACATTGTGAACAAGAAGCAGGCAGCATTATCTCCTGCAAATGTAAACAAACTTGTTTGAGCCATTTGGCTGAACAAGAAAGAGGACTGAGTGGACTTGTAGGCTCTGAAGTTTTACATTGTTTTATTTTTGAATGCAGTTTTTTTTTGTGCATAATTCTACATTTGTAAGCTCAACTTTCATGATAAAGAGATTGCTCTACCGTACTTGCATTAGGTGAATTGAAAAATGCTATTTCTTTTGTTCTTTACAGTGCAAATATTTGTAATCAAAAATAAATATAAAGTGAACACTGTACACTTTGTATTCTGTGTTATAATTCAAATCAATATATTTGAAAATGTAGAAAACATCAAAAAATATTTAAATAAATAGCATTCTATTATTGTTTAACAGTGCGATTAATTGCGTGATTAACTGAGCAATTAATTGTGATTAATTTTTTTAATCAGGGGATTAATCACAATTAATTTTTTAATCGCTTGACAGCCCTAGTAAATAGCCTCCAGAAGCTCCCCTAGGGCATAGGGTTGCCAACTTTCTATTTGGAGAAAATTGAACACCCTTGCCCCACCTAATTCCCCTAGGCCATGCCCCTGTCCCAACCCTTCTCTGAGGCCCCGCCCTTGTTCACTCCATCCCCACCTCCATCTGTCACTCAGTCTGCCCCACCCTTGCTCATTTTAACCAGTCTGGAGCAGAGGGTTGGGGTGTGGAAGGGGGTGAGGGCTCCAGCTGGGGGTGCGGACTCTGGGGTGGGACCAGGGATGAGGGGTTCAACATGCAGGGGATGGGCTTCGGGCTGGGGCCAAAGAGTTCAGAGTGTGGGAAGAGGCTCTGGACTGGGGCAGGGGGTTGGGGTGGGACCGAGGAGTTGGGGTACAGGCTCTGGGCTGGGGGTGTGGGCTCTGGTATGGGGCCAGGGATGAGGTGTTTGGACTGCAGGAGGGGCTTTGGGCTGGGACCGAGGAGTTTGGAGTGCGGGCAGGGGCTCAGGGATGGGGCAGGGGGTTGGGGTGCGGGCTCCAGAAGTGAGTTTGGGTGTGGGAGGGGACTCAGAGCTGGGTAAGGGAGGTTGGGGTGTGGACTCCAGGCAGCCGAGTTGGGGCAGGGGATTGAGGTGCAGGAGGGGGTCAGGGTGTGGGCTTTGGGCAGCCGAGCTGGGGCAGGGGTTTGGGGTGTGGGAGAGGGTGCAGGCTCTGGGAGGGAGTTTGGGTGAGGGAGTGAGCTCAGGGTTGGGGCAGAGACTGAGGTGCGGGGGGTTCAGGGTGCAGGCTCTGGGCGGCGCTTACCTCAGACAGCTCCCAGAAGTGGCCAGCATGTCTCTCTGTCTCCTAGGCACAGGGGCGGCCAGGTGGCTCAGGTCCGCATGCTGCCTCTGCCTGCAGGTGCCGCCCCCGCAACCCCCATTGGCCATGGTTCCAGGCCAAGGGGAGCTGCAGAGCTGGTGTTTGGGGCAGTGGCAGTGCGTAGGAGTTCCCATGGCCGCATCTGCGCCTAGGAGCCAGAGGGATATGCCAGCTGCTTCTGGGAACCACAAGGAGCTGGGTAGGGAGCCTACCTGCCTGCCCCACTGCGGGTGCCAATTGGACTTTTAATGGACAGATCAGGAATACAAAATTAGCGGCTGAAGGGAAGTTAGTAGATGTACTATATTTGGATTTATTAAAGCACGTGGCACAGTGTTCCATGAAATCTTCCTCTCAAAATCAGTTTTCAAATCAGCTTGGATATGAACACTGTCAGCATGGATTGAAGGACTGTAAAGAAAGTCTTATGATAGAGGACAGACTATTAACTTGAAGGGATGTGTCTAGTGGGCAACCTCAGACATTTGTTTTAGTCCTGATCTCAAGTAACATCTTTGTAGAGGAAGGAATATTCAGCAAGTTAATAAAATCTGCATAGATTATACTAAATTGAGAGGAACTTTAAATACCAGCGAGTATACAGAATTAATATAAAGGGCCTAGAGTAATCAACAACATGGGAATTAAATGTCAACATGATATTCAACTAGGAAAAACACAAGGTAATACATTTAGGAAAAAATAATACAAAGCACAGCTATTCAAGAGGAAGATGAAACCTGGTAAGAACTAATGCCAAAAGAGACTTAGAGGCGATAGCAGACAGCAAATTAGAAAAGAGTTTTCTGATCTCATTTACATTGGTGTAAATTTGGAGTGTCTCCACTGAATACAAGTTTTTGTAGATGTATAATGGTAAGATCAGAAACTGACTCATTTTGTTTAGTTCTGGACAACCCATTGCAAGAAAGATATTGACAAACTGGAAGGAAGTCAGAAAAAAGCAATAAACAATTATCAGGGATTGGCAGGATGGACTTTTGAGGAAAGATTAAGAGAGTCAGATAAAGCTCTAATTTTAAGTTCATTTACATCTACATAAAACCATTCCAAAGGGTATAAATCAAAGCAGTATTTGTTCCAAGAAGGTCAAATGAAAATATTCTCAGGATACTGTTCCCAAATCAGAGCTTTTAAGGAATGATTGCTTGCTTGCTGCTGCTACTTCAATGGACCAGCCTTAATTCATTACTGAATTTAATTAAATCACCTATTTACAATGTGGTAACAAAAACTATACATTTTGTTTTGCATAATCATATTATTCATCTTTACTACCATCAAACATTGCTCAGAGCTATCACAGTACTTCAGAGAAATAATCATGGACTGATGTTAAGAACAGATTAGACAAACATCTGTCAGGAATGGTCTAGATATACTTAATCCCTATACTTAGCATGGGAGGATGGTCTAGATGACCTTGAGGTCCCTTTCCTGCCCTACATTTCTATGATCCTATGATATATTAACTGTAGTTTCAAACTGATTGTATATTTTGTAAAGGTAGGAAGAGTCTTATCTTTCACTCAGGAAGATTTTGCAAAACCTTTTAATTGGCTTATATGTTTTGTATGAGTATAGAAGATACCAAGAACGAATTGCAAACTAGATAAAGCTATCACAGTGAGGAATGGTCTTATATCTTATATATCTTGAGCCTGATCTGGAAGCCCTCTGAAAACAGAGGCCCCATTGACTTCAGTGGGAGTGTTAGATTTACTAGGAGTTCAGGATTTACCTCCTTATGTTGACACTATATATTAACATACATTCTAGTAATGGTGTTACCATCATACGAAATATAAATGTAACAGTAAAGCCCAAAGTTAGTAGGTAAAGTATAGAGGACCAGCCTTATGATTCTCTATATTTTAAGATGTTCAAGATTTTAAGAGAGAAATCTGTTTATTTCAACTATTCATACCCTCTGATTTCCCATCGTTTTGTAAGCTGAAACATAACGGTGCCAAGTTTGCATGCTACTTTGTTAAGCATAGAATAGTAACTGTATACTATTTCATCTATTCTGAAATATCAGGCATATAAATGACACCAGTGGAGATCCCTAAATGTATAAGAAATAATGGTATTCTTGTTTGTCTTCATAAATGTATGATCTTGAACTCCATTTACATTTTCAATGAAATTTCTCTGATATAATTAAAAAGAAAAATATATTATTCATAGTTACTTTTATTAGTTTGCATTATTCTATTTCTTTAATAATTTCCTATATCAGACAGTCCATAAAACTGCTGTTTCTAATTTTAATGACATACTAGTACATATACTGGCCCAATCCTACAACTCTTTTACATGAGTAATCAATTAGTAAGGGCTGAAAGATCAGGTCCTTAGGAAAGAACTACATCTATAGTAAAGGAAAATAAGAATCAACATGTTACATGATTCTAAACCATGGTGGGTTTTACTTTTGATTATAATTTACGTTAAATGATCTAGGTACATTTGTGGATGGAGGAGAATATCTGATTTGAATTTTCCTTACATGGTATCTTCATGTAAATTCCACACAACTAAAAAGAAAGAAAGCAGTTTTGGTCACATCAATAACATACCTCTGTAAAAGTCAATTTCTCTTATTATTTTTTCTTCTCTATTGAGGTTGACTGTGAAATGGCTCATATTTTCATAGCCAGGCTCTATTTTTTCCATCTGAAATGTGTTAGATGCTTCAGTAATTCTAAAATAGAGATATTTTGTCATTTGCATTTGGGTTGGCAAATAAATGTTTACAAAATGGATAATTTATGATAAGTATCAAAAACATACACATCCTCTCAAATGGGAAGTACTTACTTTTGTAGCAATGCTTTGACATTCTGTGAAAACAAAAGTGAAATGACTGAATGCTTAAAAGTTTCATTTTATTAAACACGTTTTATACTTTGATACCTGTGTTGTTTCTAAATATGGTAGCTTGAGCTCTCAGTATAAATGAGAGCTATGAGGCCTATGAATAAGATTAGACTGAGGTTGGAACTAGTTTACATGTGAACAACAGTGTGTTTTAGGCCCTAATTCTCATTTACATTAAGTCCCCTTTATACTGCTCTGAAAGTGTAAAGGGACCTTAGTAAAAATGAGAATTAGGCCCTTAATATCTGCTTTTATTGAGATAGATACATAGGCTCATATGCAGTGCACACACAGGGTCAAAACTGAAGCTGACCGGCCCGACCAATATTCCCTCCCAGACATGACCCACATACTCCTACTGTCCTTGATAGTGACTTCTGTTTCCTAGAAATTGGACTGGGCAAACTTTTCCCACAGACTAATTTATCCAATGCATTGTGCCCTTTTGCTTTATGTAAATTAACTGAGAAAAGACTTTTGAAGTTTTACAAATTTATCATTATTCATAACTGTTCCATGAACATTTCACTCTAGCACATTTCATTCTAGGACTATGTCTGATGATTCACAGTGGGTAATTGGTCACCTCTAGTTCTGACGCCTTACAGTTCCACATATTCTCCAGGTGGTTTTCTGCCCTTCAGGACAAATTCCTGTTCCTGCACATTGTTCCTGTAAAAAAGATCCTCCCTGCTGGGGGACAGATGGGATTTTAAGATTCCAGGATGGAAAGTCACATAAGACGGAATCCTACTTGACTGAAATCAATGGGAAACTTGCCATTGATTTCAGTGGTAGCAGATCCAAACTCATAGTAAGAAGGAAGAATAGTCTTATAGTTATGGTATTGGAATGTGACCTAGAACTTCTTGGCTCTGCCATAGTCTGTGTGACCTTAACTGCCCACAGGCAAAATAGTGATAATAATTCTCTACTACCTCACAGAGGTGAAATGGCTAAATACATACACAGAATTGGGGGGGGGGTGCTCAAATATTGCAGTGCTGGGCATCATGTAAATATATATGAAAATATTGTTTCTGCTTCCCGGTTGGATGACAGAAAGCTTATAAACAGAACAGCATTTTTGGTGTGACTAGAAAATACTCATATTCTTGTGCTTACCCCTTTGTTTCCATGTTATTCAAATGAAGAAAAATCATTTCTGCCCATTGTTGTGAATGAAAACTCGTTTGTGTGGATGTTCACTGGGAAGTGAACAAATAGGGATTGTACTTGAATTGAAAAGTGAGTCACAATTTGTTTGTGATTAATTTCCCCCACTCTTTTCCTACCTCTGTTTAGAATCCTCTGAAATATACCTGCAAAAACACTGCCATTTCTGGCTCTTCCATGAACTGGATTCCTGATTCAACTAGCTTAGACACTGTCTCCAAGTGATCTGCATACTTTTTCATCAGGGAGCGGACATGTTCCAGTTTCTCCTCTTGGTTTCTAGTGATTATTTGTGTCATCTCATTTTTCCTTTCTTCCAGTATTGCATACAGAAAATCAAATTTTTCACACAGTTGCTCTTTCTGTCTTCTGCAGCATTCCTGTGAATCATTTGGTCTATGTTAGAAGTGTTATGTTGCTTAAAAGTGTTTCTATTTTTACAATTACTTGGAATTGTTTTCATCAAAGACATCCTTTTCTGAACAATACAAGGTTTTTTTTAAAGACCCCAGAGACTTTTGTAATATTCTAAGTTAAATCTGTTTGAACAAAAAGTTTTGTGAATACTTGTGAATATTTTTAAAAACAAATAGACTATTTCATTTCCAGCATGCTAAAAAAGGTGAAAGACATTTGTGTTATGTTTGTATACTTAACAGTTCATAGGAAAATCAGGAAGATAATTGCCATATTAGCAGCCAAATGAGCAGAACAGGACAGATCAGCTCAAATGAGTTCTAGAGAAAATTCCATCACCACTAGAGCTCCGGAAATGCTACTGAGCCTGTTAGGGCCTATTTATCCTTTACACTTAAGGCCCCTTTACATCACTCAGGTAACATGAAGAGGCTTAAAGTGGGTGTCAATTATACTACTTTTACTGCGCACTGAAAGAGGCGGGGTCCTGTGCCAAAAATAGCATGTGGTCATGTAATTAAAGACTGTATCATAATAATGCACAGAATAGGAACAAATTAAGGTTCCAGCCTAAATTCTGGCTTTTCCTACCTTTCAAACAGTTGACTTTGCAACCTAAATAATATTTATTTAGTATAGTTATTTTTACTGTAATAAATATGCTTGTGCTGTACCTATGGTTGTTCATGTTGTCATTTTAGCAGAACTCACAAGCTAAAAACAGATTGGGGTTGATGAATGTTTGGATTGAACATAGCATGCTGTGGGAAGTGGTGTTGCTGAATCTATATGTGGTGATCTTCCCTGGGAATAGGGACTGAATCAACTCCCCATGAAGGCATTTGGGGTCATTATATTTCTGCCATCTTTCAAATGAGACATGAAACTTAGCTCCTGATCCCTTGGGATAGTTAAGATCCCACATGACTTTTTGCTTAGGGGTTTATGACAGATGTGCCAAAATCAAAAATAAACAGTTGCTGAGTGCCATTCTGTTTTCCCTTCCTCCTTTTCAGTCTATTTCCCTTTCCCCTTTTACTTCCTGTCAAGGTTCCTTCCCCACTCTGAACCCTAGGGTACAGATGTGGGGACCTGCATGAAAGACCCCCTAAGCTTATTCTTACCAGCTCAGGTTAAAAACTTCCCCAAGGTACAAACTTTGCCTTGTCCTTGAACAGTATGCTGCCACCACCAAGCGTTTTAAACAAAGAACAGGGAAAGAGATATTCTCCCCAAAATATCCCCCCAAGCCCTACACCCCCTTTCCTGGGGAGGGCTTGATAAGAGTCCTCACCAATTGGTACAGGTGAACACAGACCCAAACCCTTGGATCTTAAGAACAATAAAAAATCAATCAGGTTCTTAAAAGAAGAATTTTAATTAAAGAAAAGGTAAAAGAATCACCTTTGTAAAATCAGGATGGTAAATAGACTCACTCAGGGTAATCACATTCAAAACACAGAGAATCCCTCTAGGCAAAACCTTAAGTTACAAAAAGACACAAAAACAGGAATATACATTCCATCCAGCACAGCTTATTTGACCAGCCATTAAACAAAAGGAAATTTAACGCATTTCTAGCTAGATTACTTACTAACTTAACAGGAGTTGTAAGTCTGCATTCCTGATCCGTTCCCAGCAAAAGCGTCACACAGGCAGACTAACCCTTTGTTTCCCCCCCTCCAGATTTGAAAGTATCTTGTCCTCTCATTGGTCATTTTGGGTCAGGTGCCAGCAAGGTTACCTTAGCTTCCTAACCCTTTACAGGTGAGAGGGTTTTGCCTCTGGCCAGGAGGGATTTTATAGCACTGTATACAGAAAGGTGGTTACCCTTCCCTTTATATATATATATATGACACTTCCTTTACAGTTTTCCACCCATTCTGTTTCCTACCTAGTGTATCTCTCCTTCCTCTCGTTCCATCCTTGTCCTCCATTTCAGTCTGTCTACAGCTACGTTCCCTGACCCTTAAAGCAGGTCACTTGCTAGTGGACATAACATCAAACATCATTCCAAGACAGTGGTGTGTTACACATCCTTCACATTACTATGGTTTGGGAGATTGGATGACCAAAGAGGTTCTTCTCTCTATACATACAATCTGGAATTTTATTACATTAAAATTTGCAATCAGCATCTATTATAGAGGTCATTGGTAGTAAACTCTGTACATCCAGGTTGCAAAACAGTCTCTACTATGCCCTGTTTTCCAAAATAGTCATATTTTGTGTTGAAATTTTTTATATTTAATCTATGTGAACGGTTTTTGTTTTGGTTTATTTTAAGTCTGACCAAACCACCATATCAGTTTTTGAGTTATAAGTAAAAAAAAAAAAATACTCTCTAATTGTAAAAATTCTCACCACACTTCTTTAAAAACAGAGCTACAGCAAAAAGAGATACAAGATGAGACTTGGCACACTCATCATTGAGTACTAGTGCCATTGCTTGCTTTGAAAAATATTGGCTTGATTTACCAAAATTCTGAGCATTTGAAAATTGTATACTAAGGTAAGTATCATAACTATACATATATAGACACGATTATGGAAATTCCTACTTTATTTATTACTTGACTCTCACATTTTATAGTCCTAAATATTTGTTTCTTTTTCATTATGGTTTACAATTATATAGATTTTTACACTTCATTGCTGCTCTCAGTAGAATATGTGAATTTGTGTTACTTTTTGGTTAGTTTGTTGTAATTTGAATATATATTGGCCTGTTTTTTAAAACTTTGCATAGAAACTGTAGCTAAATTTAGAACTGTGGGCTTACTGTTTACAAGAGCTAAAAGCAACCTGACCACATACTTTCAGTATTGCTCACTCTAAAGTAGTGTAAGTAGTGCAATGTGTCAATTTGAGTAGAGGATAGGAAAAACCAGCAAGCCTGATTCTGGGGTCTCTTGGTTCCAACTGTTCATCTGAGCCTTCAAGGTCAAACTGATGTCAAATTCAAATGAAGGGAATGTGATGGGAAGAAGTATGATTTGTCTGCAATATGAAGTGGAAGCACTATGTAATGTTTCAATCTCTGTTTTCTGTAATCTCTGATTTTACGGACGTAAAGCCTATTAAGGTGTGTGAAGGTAGACAGGCTCTGCACTTCTTATTCTATCAATCTCAATTTCTGATTTGTAGTTCAAAAGGTGGGTACTACATATGAGTGAATGACTCTGAGAAAGCTAATTTCAGATATTGCTGTTTTTTTTAATGGAGTGTTCTCTGTAAACTTCAGTTTAGATGTTTGAAGTCTTGGTTTTGGATTAACTAGTCAAATCTGAAGGGAAAGAAACCTAATCTTTTGTTCTATTTTAATTTCTACACTTAACTTACTTGAAAGGCTCATTTCCGTCTGCAAACTCCCGATAGCAGCCAATTTCATCCTTGCAATACAAAGGCTTCTTGACTACAAAGTTTTGACTTTGCCGCTTACATCCTCTCTCATTTCCGTGGGTTAACAGTTTTACATTCTTTGAACCAAATTCTGGACATTATCTGTTCTTCCTTACTCTGGTTGCACAGGGAAATAGGTGACCCCCTGGCAATTGTACATTACACTGTGGAATTAATTTTTCTTGCCAGTTAGAACCTATAAATATTGTCTTTAAATGTTACTTACTGCACTTGCTATTTATTGCTCCTATTTTGAAGGATCAGGAGGTTTTTAATTTTTTTTCCTTCTTTTGGTGTGTGATTGGTTCACTAGGTGCTTCATCAGGGTCTGACCTTAAAGTGATTCCATATAGGCTCCTTCCACAGCCTGTCAAACTGTGCTGCTCCCAAACTGACCAGAATAGTGATCTTTATTTGCTCTATTGATACAAACATCTTGGAAGAACTGCATGAAAGACACTTGTGCTAGCAAAAGAATGAAATCTATCCCAGCTCTCTCAGAGCAAAAGCCTTACCAAAAAAAGTGGTCTCCTTACAGTATAACTCATGAACAAGGCAAGGTAAATAAATACACACACTACTGAATATAATTAAGGCAAGGTAAATAAATAAATACACACACTACACACTTTCACATACTGGTGAAAGTAGGGCTCTGTTCTCCTATTGGCTTCAATGGATCAGGATGAGTCTGCAGATGAAGATCAATCTCTTACACCCCAATCCTGGGAGATGCTGTGTTCCTGATCCTACATGCTGATTTCACTGAGAGATGATGGCACACCACACTTTCCAGGATGGGACCCTAACGTCTCAGTCACGTTCCTATGCTACTAAGTTAAAGCAACAATGACACTATTTCAGTCTACAAAGACACCCTTCTATCTAATATAATACACAAATGTAATTAAAAGTTACCATGCATGAGTTTCTTCTCCCTTACATATCAACCATATTGAGGTCTCTAGTCTGCCAGAGTAAATGGGCTTTTGCTAAGACTATCCTTTTCCCAGTACCCTAACAGTGTATCTAACCATTGTTCTGTGATCAAATATGTGCTCTTTCCTACCTATATGTGCTTGACCTCTGCCTGCCCTTTGGCTCACACAACAGAAGAAGGCAGCTCTCCATGAGTTGAAAAACGGTACTCAAAGAGCAATAATCAATGGTTCACTGCCAAAACTTTGGGTGTATCTAGTGGATCCCACAGGGATCAGTCCTGGGTCTGGTACTACTCAGTATTTTCACTGATGACTTGGATAATGGAGGAAGGTATGCTTATAAAATTTGCAGATGAGACCAAGCTGGGAGGAGCTGCAAGCATTTTGAAAGACAAGATTAGAATTTAAAATGACCATAGCAAAATTGAAGTATTGGCCTGAAATCCACAAGATAAAATTCGATAAAGAGAAGTGCAAAGTACTACACTTAGAAAGTAAAAAACAAATGTACAGCTAGAAAATGGGGAATAACTGGCTAGGAGGTAGTACTGCTTAAAAGGATCCAAGGGTTACAGTGAATGACAGATTGAATATGAGTCCACAATGATGCAGCTGCAAAAAAAGCCTAATATAATTCTAGGGTATATTAACAGGACTGTCATATGTAAGACACGGGAGGTAATTGTCCGGCTCCGTTTGGCACTGCTGAGGCCTCAGCTGGATTACTGTGTCCAACTCTGGGCACCACACTTTAGGAAAGATGTGGACAAATTGAAGAGAGTCTGGAGGACAGCAACAAAAATGATAAAAGGTTTCGAAAACCTGACCTATGAGGAAAGGTTAAAAAACTGGGCACGTTAATCTTGAGAAAAGAAGATGGAGGGAGGCTCTGATAACAGTCTTCAGATATGTAAAGAGCTGTTAAAGAGGACTGTGATCAATTGTTCTCCATATCCACTGAAGGTAGTGCACCCTACATTTACCCGTGCATCCCTGATTCACCACAGTAATATGATCATGGTTTGGTTATGATATAATTATGTAGCATCTTGTACAAAGTATGCCTTGTGAGGTATCATTCTAAACGCCTTAATCTGCCAAACATTAATATCTCGTTGGAATGTATGTGCTATTAAGTTATAAAGTTTTGCTATGTATGTGTTACTGAAAGATGATGTGAAGATGAAAACACCCACAGCTACCATTTCAGGTACAATAATGAAGAGGCTAGACAGTGCTGATGGCCCATCAACAACCATAAAAGAGCTTAGCCTGCCTGGGAATGCTTCAGACAGCCTATGGATAATGGTTGCTATGACTCAGCAAGGCATGCAAGGGCATGTGACAAGACCACTTGACACTGAACTCCATTTTGGTACCTGTATTTTTCCACAAACTGGGCTGGGAACTTAGCTTAAAATAAAGGGTTCCTGCCATATGGAGAGACTATATAAAGTGGGGAATGACATCATGACTGGCCTTCACTCCTCCACAACTCAGCACCTGAAAGAAGCTCTGGAACACAAAGGACTTGGAACGGAGGGGAATCCAAGATGCAAAGCAGATGCAGCTTGTGCCTTAAGAATCTGCAAGCCTGCTTGTATTATCAATCAGGGTTAGAAATTGCTAATTCAAACCCCATCTATCTAGTATATTATGCTTAGCTTGCATTTTTGTTTATTTGCTAGGTAGTCTGCTTTGATCTGTTTGCTGTCACTTATAATCTATCTTTCTGTAGTTAATAAACTTGGTTTATGTTAACGAGAGCATTCTGAGTGAAGTTTATGGGGAAATCTCAAAGGCTGTTGCACATCTTCCCCACATCAAGGGGGGGGGGCGAATTAATTAATGAGCTTGCATCATATAGATCCCTGAGCAGTGTAAGAAGGTATAATTCTGGGTTTATACTCCACTAGGGGTGCAAGCCTAGAGAGCTGGGAAGTTGGCTGGGGGCCTCCTCTTTGTCCATTAGTGGCTTAGGTAAAGCACTCAGGTAATTCAGTTGGGCGTATGGCGCTACCTTCTGTCGTGTTGGGTGATAACAGGGCCTGGAGAGGCTGGCTGTGTATCACCAGCAAAGCAGCATGAGAAAGGCCAACCCAGCTGAATTGTTAGGGGGCACAGCAGTTCCAACGGCTCCCAGACTGCACCGGACGAGTACAACCCATCACAGGCAGGATAACAGGTAATGGATTTAATCTTCAGCAAAGGGAGATTTCAGTTAGATAGTAGGAAAAATTTTCCAACTGTAAGTATAGTTACGCTCCAGAATAGTCTTTCATGGGAGGCTGTGGAATCCCCATCACTGGAGATTTTTAAGAGCAGATTGGACAAATGCCAGTCAGGGATGGTCTAGGTTTATTTGGTCCTGCCACAGCAGACCATTTACATGACCAAAATTGCAGATGCAATTCAGAAATCTCAGCATCTCCTTGATTTCATAGAATCATAGAATCATAGAATATAAGGGTTGGAAGGGACCCCAGAAGGTCATCTAGTCCAACCCCCTGCTCGAAGCAGGACCAATTCCCAGTTAAATCATCCCAGCCAGGGCTTTGTCAAGCCTGAAAATTTCCTTCCCATCTTAAGTTTCCTTCCCATCTTAAGTTTCAGGTAGAAGCTATATCCCAGAGGTCAAAAGAATCCGTGGTCCACTACAAAGCTTTCCAAAGACAGCATTTTTTTTAGCTTTTCACTAGTGTAAATAAGAACAGAATCTGGCCCACTTCATGACAACACAGTGGAGTTACTCCAGATTTAACCAGAGCAGTGGCAGCAGGTGCTTATAATAAGTAGTGAGGTTGCAAGCAGCATATGATCCCTTCTCAGATTTGCAAAGTGAAAAACAGAGTCACTGTGGCCAGAGTGTCACAGAGAAGAGTTTTGGTTGGGAGCGGAGGCATAAAGGGGCGTGCTAGGGATCTTAGTGATGAAGTGGGTAGAAAAAAAGAATTTCACTCCCCTTCTGTTCCCCCTGTGCTCAGCCCTGCCAGCCAATCTCATCTCATCCCGTTCATGGCTCAGAATCTTCTCAAGCCTCCTCAGTCCCCTTCATCCCAATCCCCAACTCATCAGACACTGCCCCCCTTCCCACCTACCCCTCCATGCTGAGTACTTCTCCACTCCCTTCATCATCCAACCGCCCCCTCCTCACATACACACACCTACCTATTCTGTCCTCCTGTCCCCTCAATGTCTCCTTTCCAGGTCACACATGGAGAAGAGGACCAGCTATCTTTACTGAGGGCAGCTTGACTTCTACCCCATTGAAAGCATGAGAGACAAAGGACATCTTTACTAGAAAAACCAGCCTCACTTCCACCTACAAAAAGTTTACGGAAATGAGGCATCCTAGTACCAATCCCACTGAGAGTGACGGAAGACAGCCGCAAATCAGGGGAATAGTTTGTGAGATTACTACAGGATGTGAGGAAATCATGAGAAGCTTAAAAGAATTTCTGCAAGTGTGAAACTCAATACAGTATCATCAGGAGTTGGCAGCTCTGGTGTAATATATGCAGACATTTGGCAACATAATTCGGGAACCTGTTAAAAGAAGCAAATTATATAAATGCAAGAAAATTATCATGAACAACCAGATATGTTCTTGGACGTCATGTTCAACACATAACTCAAGCTGCATTACTTACCTCTACTGTCCTGCAGGTCTCCTCCAGTTGACCTACTATTCCTTGCACTCTATCATTACTGCCCACGAGTACTGCAATGCCATCACTGAGTACAGACTAAACAGGAGTAGGAGAATGAGCATATGCAGAGTTAATAATATGCAAGTTGGCAGTTTTACTTTATATGCTTTCTTCTCATGCGCTTTTCACAAAATAGCACATATAACCTGACGTGCAAAAACAGTGGATGAGTGGGCTACACAAGGGTATATAATTGCTCAGAACTAGAGCTGATAGAAAAAATTGAATTTCCGTCATTTGGGAAATTCTGGTATTTTGACATTTTGTTTCCATCCTGAACTAGAATGTAAATTTGAAACTTTTCCTGGAATGAAAATTTCTGAAAAATTGTGAGACACCTTGAAAGCCTCTAAAAATGCACGGGAAAAAAATGTGCAGGTACATCCATTTGCACACGCACAAAGCACCTTTTGAGCAGGCAACGTGGGTAATTAGGTACCAATATTTGGTTTTGCAGCAGAGTCAGGCAAGCTATTCACAGTGAATAAATTATTTCATTAATTTAGCTCCTTTTTCTGTTCCCGAGTTATCTGTGAATAAATTATAATTTGTATGAATTTGTTAACTGGCCAAGCTTGCACGGCCTTATGCTCAATTTGCTAGCATTTGGCTGTAACATGATAACTTCTGAATGCCACAGCCAATCAATTCCAAATGTCCAGGAATATCTGAGGACTCAGTGAGCAGGAACCCCATTGATTATAATGAAAACCAGAAAAAAGAAAAACAAACAAGAGGGAAATGGGGGATAGATGGAGCCCCTGGCATCCAGTTGGCAGAGCTATCAGGTTCAACAACCTCTGTAATTGTTGGTTGATGGCAGCCATTCACCCCCTCCTAACATAACACCCCTCATCTTAGCTCTGCCCAACCTCCCAACAAAGTTTTAAAAGGTTGACACACTGAATGAGAAAAAAGAAGAAAGAGGAATGGTGTAAGGCAAGGGAAGAATGGAGAGGCATGAAGGAAGGACGAATGGTGTCCCACACATAGCCCCTGGAATGCGGGGGACAGATGGACAGGAAATGAGGGGGCAGACAGAACCCCTGGGGTGTGTATGCGGAGGGGGGGGGGATGGAGGACCCTGGTATGAGGAGATGGGAGAAAGGAACCACACACATAGAGCCCCTGGCATGGGGGAGAATGGAGAACCCTGACAGGGGGGAAATGGGAGAGCATACAGAACTGCTGGCATGGGGTGAATGGGGACCCAGGAACGTGAGGGCACACAGAGCCCCTGCTTGGAGGGAAGAAGGGAAGGAGGGGAGCACAGAGCTCCTGACATAAGGCGGAAAATGGTGTGGGGCATGGAATCCCTGAACAAGAAGAGGATGGGAGGGTGGAACACAGGGAGCTTGTGAGGGTGTGGGGGACAGCCGGACACAAGGAGCCCCTGGGATGTGCAATAAGCTCGCCCTACAGTCTAGTTACAAGTATAATGACACATATACATTATTTGACAGCTATTTTATGCAAACATATTTCATCCTATGGATTGCTCACAAGCTATTTGTTGTGGCTGCTGCTTATTGCTCTGTCACTCTAACTCACATGGCATTATTTCTGTCCCCTGACTAGATATCTTCCAAATCAACAAGGAGCTCTCAAGACAGCTACCAGAAACTTCTGTCATAATTACTTGTGCAAACATAGTCACATGAACATTCGGGAGACTCTTTCCACAAACTTTCTTGCAAGAAAGTTGTCAGAAGGGGGTTAAAAGCGGGTATGGATGCCAAAGAGATTGCACCTTTCTTATTCAAGAGAATGTTTGCAAATACTTTTCCAAAGTATTTCCTCAGTTCTAGTTTACACACACGTGCATCTGTGTAAAAAAGAAATAAAAACAAAAAACAAAAACAAAAAAACCCTGGAGGTTGGTGCTGTAAATTTGGCCTTCTCTGGTTGCTTAGCTCACTGGGCCTCCCCAGAAAATGAGTTGCTTATCTCATGAAGATATCCCAGTGAGTCAGTCTTTAAATGAATACTGTATTAAAAATAAATAATCAAGTTTTTTACTAGTGACAGTAATGGTAGAGGATACTGGGCACACAATGAGCTGCCAACTATTTAACATCCCTAGCAGAAGAGGATTTTCCCCCTAAAGACAAAGATCCCTATTTAAACAGAAGCAAGAGAAGCATCCAATATAAAACTATTAGACTTGAGTGGGGTTGCTCTCTCCCTCACTTCTGCTGGCAATCCTGCCTATGCTCCTGGTCTAAAAGGACTGAAAACATGAGTCTGAGAAATGTAAAGGGAGATCAACTTAAAAATCACATCTGTCTGAAAGCATTTCCTTACTATTATTACAGCTAATATGTAATTAATTATAACTGAACACAATTAGGAAAAATATATTTTTTCTCAATTTCTTGTAAAATATTTTACTCTGTAGAGTTGGTTTCTCTGGAAATTTGTGTGGGTCTTTCACATGGCAAGAAGGGAGAAAACAACTTTAAAAAAACCCAACAACCAAAAACCAACACCACAGAAATATGGATTGTAAACCCACAAAATTGGCAGGGCAGCTGAGGGGAAGATTTTGTACTTTGAACTTTCTTTTTTTTAACTGACTAGATTTCATGTTGATGGTGTCCCTTTACATTGAGTGGGTCATTATGATTAGAAGCAAAAAAAATTTACCTTTTGTCGCTGGTAAACGTTTTTGAGAGGAGCAACCTGGCAGTCTTTATGGGCACCAAAAACTTTGCACATTGAACATGTGGGTATTTCACAGTTTAAACAATAGATATTAATTTTCTCATCCTCATGCTCTTCACACATTGGCTGCTCAGATTTTCTTTCAGGTCTGTGAAAGTTATCATTAAACACATTAAAATAGTCACTTGTTTACTTGCTTTACTGATCTTGATAACACCTATGTCCTTCAACACAAAACAAAGGGATAAAAACAGTACCTGAGGTTTCAGTCCATAACCACAAAATAGTTTAAACCTGCTAACCAGTGGTGAATAAACAAGTGCAAGTACTTGTAATTTTTCCTGACACAATATGACAAGCTGGGAAGCATGACTTCATTGTATGGCCCTTATTCAGGAAGGTGCCTGTGTACGTAAACCCATTGAAGTCAGTGAGACTACTCATGCACTTAAGTTAGGCATGTTGTTTAACATCTTTCTGAATCAGCACCTACATGCTTGAGGTCTTCAGGGCTCAGTCATACAAAAAGTTGAGCAAGCTGGCCTTGATCTGGTAAAACACTTAAGCAGGGCCTTAATTTTACTCGAGTAGTCCCATAGGTGTCAAAGGAACTTCATATACTTCAGATTAAGTCCCTGTTACAAATAAAATAAAAGAATTTAAAGACACCATGCTTGGCACCATGCAGGATTGAAACCTTAGTCCCCATCCATACTAGGCTGGGAACCAAATTAAAGAGTCATGTTTGGAACTGCATTTAAAATGATCTTAGCTGAACAAGTTTCTAACATGGACTTTGTAGAGTAGTTAACACCACTATACTAGCCATTGAGGATAGAGGTTACATAAAAAATGACCCTTTTTTTTAATGTTGTTTACATAAAAAATGCCCAAGAGGGCTACATAGGCTACAACAAAATTTTTAACATCATTTTAGCATGGCTTCCCTCATCCACACTAGCCAATCTGTCTGCATTAGAAATAAATTTACTTGGAACCCTATTTAAACTATTTCTTTAATTTGAGTCCTGATCAAATGTAAATGGGGTTTCTGTTTAACATGTAATCCCCAAGGAGATTACCTAGATTCCTGGGGCTCTGTCTGCTGGCAGCTCAGGGAGATGTACGCTGTCCCTGGTAGGGAGGGGGACCCAAGGCAGACTCAGAGTCTGCCCGGCAACCAATAAGGAGTAAGATGCCCTTCCCAGGGAGCTCAGGGAAGGGGAGAAGCCATTTTTGAGTCAGTCTGGAGCCAGCCAGGGAAAGGGCAGGGCTGGCTGTGTGGGGAGCTGGTGAGTCCCAGGCCTGCATGCAGGGCTCCCCATGAGAGCTGGCCTCTAGGGACTTGAAAGCAAGATCCCTCAGCTGGGCTTTTCCCTCTCCACTGATGACTCCCAGTGTGTAGAGTTTTGCTGGGAAACTTCCCCAGCCAGGCTGAGTTAGCCCTCCAGCTCCCTAGGTGAGACCAGTCACCACATGGTCAGCTCTGCTCTGGCTGCTAGTCCAGGGCTGCTGCCTGCTGAGTGTGTGTCTGGTCGCTGGGGTAGGAGACTACAGTTTGGATTTTAATATAGTTGTGTAATCTACACCTTGAGCCCTGCACCCCTTTGTGGTGAAGGGAAATCCTGAGACCAGAAGCAGCCTGACTCCTGCCTGAAGAGGATCCCTGCCAGCAGAAAGCAGCCCCTCTGCAGTGACCGAGGAGTCCAGAGTCATCTCTGAACCTGAGGATCATTCATGGAGTTTGTGAGTGCACCATCTTTTAGTTAGTCAGTCAGGGAAATAGTTTTACCACCTTCTCCCCCTTGTGAGTCCTTTGGGTTGTACTGAACCCAGTCAGCCACACTGCTAAACCACTGCAGAAACGATATCGTGGTGATAGGTCATCAAAAGCCCCAACAAAGTACATGTACCAAGGGACACTGATCTTACATTTGCTACATCAGGTCACGTGACTGGGGAAAGTCACGGGTATTTATCAGCGTGGGCACCGGTGACCCTAAGAATAGTGTTTTACCCTGTTATGTTATATAATTTGTCTCCTGTTTAATATAATTACTGTGTTGAATATATTGTATGTGTTTGTGTTATTTCTTGGGAGTCTCCAACTATCTGGCAAGAAAGTGGGGGTTACCGTGTGGTTAGAATTTTTCTTCCAACCTGCCTGATGACCCTGCCAGGAAGGAGGGAGGAGGGTAGAGGCACGGCCAAATAAATTCGTAGGGAAAAATAAAGAAGATACACCCTGCTGAGTGGGTGGCAGGATCCAGAAGAACTCAGACCTGTCCATCAAAACCTCTAAGCAGATGGGCATTAAAGAAGGTAACCAGGTGGAGAGGGGGCGCTACAAACATATCCCATATCCCCAAAGCTTCCACTTATAGAAGAGTCCTATAGAATTTAACAGAAGTGAAGACTATTGCTCCACAGAAATGTAATAGTTTATAGAAACTACTAGTTCCTATATTTAGTAGTTTATAAAAACCTATAGAACTGAACAAAGAATGAGTTAGTTTTAAGACTTTTAAACCATTGTACAGAATTCTGTGGTGGGGAAACAACTGTCCATAACATTCTATTAGATGCTTCAAAAACTAATTAAAAGATTATCATTTCTATTAAATGATATAAGACTCTTCCATACAGGTTAGTACAGTGGGGATAACTACTCCTTTTCATGGATAGCAGGCATGTTTTCTCTTTTGCACTACTTGAAAGGGAAATCAAGACAAATAGATAAAAGTTGGAAAAAAGTTGAAAATAAAATATTTTCTGCTTCCATTTTTTAATTTTATGAGGTTTTGAAACAAAAGTTATAGGAGTCTGTTCATACAGTAAGCAAAATCTGTGCTCTGCAATATAACTGGATACACAGTATTAATGAGATGAAGTAATAAGATTTCTAGAAATATTCTATATTATTAGGATCAATTTTCTACCAGGCAGTTGCATAATGTGTACGTTGTAAAGGATGCTTTAAATTGTGTGCAGATGATTCCAAAACACCCAACTCCCTATGCATACTGTGGGGCAGCAGCAGGAGTTTCTGCACACACGGGTGGATGGACAGCAAACCTCGAAATGGCAAGACGACTGAAATGCCTGCACTTCCTGAAAATATTTGCAAGACTAGAAATCATCAGTTATCTGTCACTAAAACCATGACCAATAACATGTCAGACAGACAAGGAGGGTCAAAAAGGTAAAGGTATCAAGTCGACCCAGTGATGACCTGAGGGACCCTTTGTCAGAAGTAGCCAATCTTCAAAAGGTATCAAAAAGGGGTTCAAAGAAACCAAGGCAGAAATCTCTGGACCAGTGAAGCTCTCAAACCTAGCATAGAAAACTGGAAAAGGAACTGATATGCTGTTAATTTACAAGCCTCTTCCCTGAAAAATGAGAGACTTTTACCAGAGCCTCTTGGGCCACATTCTGATCTCTTTTATACCAGCGTAAATCCGAAGTCACTCCACTGAGTTCAGAGTAGATCATCTGGATTCACATTGGTGTAACAGAAGTCAGATTCTCCTGAAATGAAAATTTAAATACTAGTCTGTAGGAAAATATTAGCACAGTTTTAGTAGTAAATTATTAATCATAAACCTATTGAAGAAGCTGTTGGTAGCTAAACTGATCTAGCATCTAGTGTTATGAGAGACACACACTTATTATATACTCCACTGACTCCTTTGAGAGTGCCTGTGCAGATGGCTTGTAGGATCAGACCCTAAAACTGCAACTCAGAGAGATTCCACAAGTAGTAATGAAGCTCCTGATCTGACTTGGGATGCATCTTGGCTCCCACTCTCCTGGGTCCCCGGAATAGAGCCTCCTTACTGTTGCTTTGCACATGGCTAAGATTTGATCCTTAAAGCAGAGAGCGCTTTGTATCATTGATGTGTTGGGTTTATGGAACAAAAAAGCAAAACAAAAACTAAAAACAAAGCTAATGCATGAGAAGATGCACTGTGCAACTAAGCGCAATAATAAATTAGCAAATATGCAGTTAGTATAATTAGGGCCAGAAGTGGACATATGTTGATTTACATGAGCTGAGGATATGGACCATTGTGTACTCATTTTATATTTTCACGTCACTGTCATTCAAAGGAAAAATTAATTGAGCGTGATAAAGAATGGTTGTTCTAATAAATGTCGCCTTATAGTATGTGTAAGCTTTCTGGGCCAGATTCTGCTCTCCATTACACCAGTGTGAATCTAAAGGAAAAAAAATAATCACTTGAATAAAGGTTTACAGGAATGGGTACTACATTACCAAAATAGAGGAGGAACTGTTTAGTCATGAGTGACTGTCTCGGGATTTATTCAGTGCCAAAAAGCTTCAGTTGAAATGTTCTGTTGAAATTCAGACTCCCACACTATGCAGAGTTTTATTTGGTAACAATGCCAGTCATTTCATTTAATACTGAAAAATTAACATTAGCCTCCATAAAGGCCTGACTGTGCCTGCAAGGCAGAGGCCCATGTTGGGGGCTTTGCAGTGCCATTACACCCCAGCGAGCATTCCAGGGAGCACTGGGTGAGTGTGCCAGGAACACAGGAATGCTCTCCTCCCTTAGGATGCTCTCCTCTGTGCACCCAGACAGCTCCACTGGCTAGTGTGACGTGCAGCTGGGAGCCATGGACCCTTCTCCTTGCATCCACCTTTGGGGTCATGTCCCCCAAAGGATGCTAGGTGGGAGGTTCCCATGGTCGAGAAAGCTCAGGGATTACAATGGTGAAGAGGGGCACTAGGAAAGGATATGAGGAAGGCTCTTGGCGTTCTCCTCCTGTGCAAAGCCTGGCAAAACCTAGCCTTTAATTTGGGAAGTAATGAGACAAAGAAGGTGTTATATTACAGAGCGTTATAAAGAAAGTGGAGTAGTTACTATAGATCATTCAATAAGGTGGAAGATATACAAGAAAGGTAACAGGCCTAATTTGCCCCAGTTTTTTGGAAGGTAATGCCACTGATTTCAATGGGGCTACACCAGCATAGAATAAGGCAGTGTGACTCCTGGCAACATAACTCATGATGGCTTTAGAAAAGTTAGGGTGAGGGAGATAAGCAGCTGAGGCATACAACGTGTCAAATAGCTTAGATAATGCTCTGAAGCATTACTGTTGCCAGGATAGCCCTGATAATTAGTGTAACTCTAAGGACGTAAGTGAGGGTTAAAAATACCTTCATATATTAAAAATAATCCTTGCAGAGAAATAACAGAGACAACATACATTTATATGCATATTTTTGTTCTCTTCTTTAGTTCAGTTTATTGCATTTTATATTTGTGAGGTTAAAAAAAATAAGAATCACCAAATCTCCTATGATCTTTTACATATTCTTGCTGCAATGGCTGCAGAATAAAGCCATGGACTCATGGGAAAAAAGAGTAACATCCATAGTATTAAAGTTAACCTCAAACTGTATAGAAAAATGCAAAAAGAGGTTAAAGACCCACATATGATCAGCTTGTTCTGTTGCCTGCTACAGCCAGTGAAGTAGCTCTGCTGATTCATTTCCTCTGATTTTCCCTGCTAACTACAGGGTATTTGTATATCACTGACACATTTGGGGACAAAGAGTCATGGGAGTAGCTGAGCTCTGCTCAGCGTGCCACTCTCTACGGGGAAAGAGTAAGACAGCTCTCAGTCAACTTTGTGCTCCCCAGCTTCTTGGTTTGGCCCCCAGCTTAGTTTAGGGCAGTTCCATGGGGCCATCCTACAGCCAAGGATGGCCAGTGCTCCAGCCACACACTCCTCTCTCCACCCATGCTTCAGCATGGGATGGCGATGAAGGACAGCGTAGAGGAGCTTGCATCAATTGAAGAACACTTTTACATCAGGGGTATTTTCTAGGTGCCGGATCTACCCAGTTTTAGGCCCCTTTGCTACACCGGAGTAGTGCAAAAGGGGTGGAGTTGGGCTGTGAATTGGGCGTGCAGGGTTTCATTATGCCTTGTAGCCATTGCCTTGTACTTGGGGAGGCATGGAGGCACCATAATGCTGCACTGCCAGCACTGGGAGACATTGTGCCTCTGGCAGGGAGTACAACTCCTGTGTCACTCTTTGACAGTGCAGCCTACGTTCAGAGTTAACAGTCTGTGTTGGGAGAAGAGGATGCAAGACCATGACCCTGCTTCCTCCTCTGCCTTCCTGCCTCATTTGGTGTAGCTAGATTTGCTAGCCAGGAGCAGTTTTTGTGCAGAAGGGAATACAACAACTTCAACTGTGGGTCTCCTTACCCTTCCTCCCCTTGTATACCATCACAGAGGCTGGGAACAGTTTGATACATAAAGTAAATTTGTGACAAAGTTTCCCTTAAATCAGTGAATATGTGCTATTCTTTGTTGGCATTTTTTGTGGTCGATTTGAGATTTTCTACTGAAACTGTCCTACACGGTCTCATTGACAAAAAGGTTTGTAAGATGGCAATTAATGAGGGAAATCTATAACCAACCAACCTGCTTCTAAAAGGCAGCATTCAGCATGAAACCAGTGCTGCAAGCAACCCCTCACTTACACTGAAGTCTGCTTGAGTCGATAAGGATTACTGGCTTGAGCAAGACTGTAGAACTGGGTTTGCTATTTAGTTTTTCTTCTCTGTGATGCAAACGGAAGTATGATCAGTGATGTGTGAGCACATTTCCTGCTTATCACTTGGTAAGAAAGAAAATGGTAATGTTCTATTGCTGGCTCAGTTCTGTATCCAGTAGTTGTTAGTCTTACTTTTTAGGGTTAACTCATGCTTCCCCTCCAGGATTTTGGTTTTCCTATGCACAACTACACTGTGTTGTCATTAACTGTTATTTTTGGCATTTTCATTCTCTTCTGTACAGAAAGTGAGGCCTAAATAAGACTTGATTTCATGAGTTCACATCCCAAGCTTACAGGAGTGCTTTTTAAAAATATTGATGATTCAGTATTCTGATGCAGGATGGCTTCTGAGTATAATTCAGATTTTTTTTTCTCACTCTATTTGTCCCTCAGGGCTTCCTAACAAGTGCTGGCACCTTTTAAAGACAGGAATACATGGACTGAAAACAAATTGTGGAACATGAAAGTTTTGAAAAATTTTAAGACTGAGTAAATGGGCGAGACCCTTCTTTCCTTAGTCACGTGACTAACCCAATTGACTTCAAGGACTCTGCTTGCATGACTAAGGATCATGCATGTGAATAAGGACTGCGGAATCAGACTCCGTGTGGGAAGCAAAAAATCAGCACCTATTTTAACGTTGCATTCTGTCAAGTGATATAGAATAATAAGTGAGGGCTGATTTCATTCCACAATAAAAAGACAGAGGCACGTATGATATCATTCCAGTCTCCAAGTACAGTAAACCTCCACCAGCTCCAAAAGATAAAATGAAATAAACAGAACTAACAACTCACAAAGCAAAGGAAAGAAAAAAAAATGTCATAAGCTGCATCATCTTGTATGGTAAATATTCTTTTAAGGATACAAATTAGTATGTTACCTGGTGGACTCCTGCTTGTATATGTCAATGATATTTTCCACTAATAGGTTCCTTTGAAGTCCATACACACCATGTCTGTCCAGAACCACTTCATGTCTGCAAGAGGGACAGCGAAATCGACCACCTGATGCCATAGTGGTGCCTCCTCTGGTTGGCAGATACGGGTTAGAGGCCTGTTCTTGCCAAGCAGTAAAATTACAGGTGAATAAGGCCACGTATAGCTTTTTTTTTTTTTTTTTTAACACTGTGGTTATTCTAATAATGACCTTAATTTTCACAACACAAGGTGCATATCAGGCCAACTATTTCAGATCTAACCCAAAGCCCACTGAAGTCAGTGAAAACACCCTCAGGACTCCAATGATCTTTGGATCAGGCCCTTAAAGCAGGACTCTCCATTGACCTAACAATCCCCAGATGAAAGTTATGGCCCTACATCACTTCACTTAGCACCTGCCAGCTAATAATATTGCAACAACCTGTGCTAGAGATAAACATACCATTCTACAGTGCTAGAACAAACATAAATTTGAAATTAAATATCTTTAAACATTTTTCAGGGCCGCACAGAGATTTTAGGGGGCCCTGGCAAAATCTGGAAGTCAAGCCCCTCCCCCACCCTTCCAAAAAAATTATTATGGAGACGAAAGAGCTTAAGGAGGTAGGAGGCCCAGGCTTGTGTGGGGTCTGCCCTGCGTGTAGCCAGGGGGCTGCTCCGAATCCCACCTCTCCCTGAGCTCTGGAGCAGTATCCCTGATCTTGTTCCTACTTTGGGCTCCAGGCCTAGTGGATTCCCTTGGGCCCAGTGCAATGAGCCCAGTGGCAGTGGTGGCATCTGGACCTGGCCAGGCTGGGCAAGTGGCTCCCCGCACTATCAATGGCAGGCACCAAACCAGAGTGGCACTGCCATCCAGGACACCAGGTCACAATGTTCTCACTCAGATTTGGCCCGGCCACCTCTCCGTCATTTTGGGGGCTGGGGGCAAACTGTCCCATTTACCAGCCCCCCAACCCCAGGTGACCCTGCCTCTGATAGATCTTGCTGGCTCTAAATACTTGAAATAGAAAAGTCAGTCTGAATAAAAATAAATGCAAAAAATGGGTCAATGTATAAAAGACAAGACAAGGGGGCAGATCCTCTGCTGGTATAAGTTGTCTCTATATATGGATACTGTACATGTAAACACCATATGACAACTCACAGCAGCAGAGGATCTTCCCCCACAGATCTCCAGGCAGAGAGAGCCAAACAGAGATATTTTCTGTCTAAGTAGCTTCTATTTATGCCTTTTTAAAAAACTTGCAAATTCTTAAGAGCAAATAAACTGATGGTGTAAATTCTCCCCTCCCTTTTGCCTTGGGAAAATTATATTTATACCTGCAAATCTTCATATTGAAATAAACCTACCTGGAAAATATCGCTGGCACATTTTCTACACAGGTTATGCTGACAGGGGAGGATGACCACAGGTTTAGTAAACATCTCTAAACAGATGGGGCAAATAAGTTGTTTCTCCAGGTTATCCATGGTTTGCTGCTCTTTGGAAAAGGACTTGTAATTCAGAGAAGTGCTCATCTCCTAGCTGTTCCAAGGTGCATATGTCCAGAATAAAAGAGTACCATCGATCAGTTTCCGGGTTAGTTTCCTTGAAATAATTCCATGGCTTGTGTGATCAAATGTCCTTTGAATTTCTTTCACTGGAGGACATTGTTAAAACAAAGAGCTGAAGGGAGCTGGAGCTGTTTTTAGCAGCACAGCGTCACAAGTTGCCATTCTAACTTGTCCATATATGCAAGTGACACAAGGACAGATTCAGACAGGTGATGGATTACAGAGATGAGAGATCAACATTCCTGTCTCAGTGCAAGGAGGAGGCGGAGGAAGGGGAGAGGAGTTGACAGTTGTCATTGACACATGGCAGCACTCACCCCCTTGGAGAAGCACAAGTGTTAACAGCACAGCGAATGCAATCGAGTTCATTCTTATCTCTGCACCACAGTGAAAATTATAGGGCCCTGAATAACCTGATGTCATTTTCTGGTGAAGCAAAAGACTATTATCAGAAATCGTAATGTATTGTTTAATTACAGTATGAAATAAATACAGTTTTAATAAACTGAAAGGTTACAACAACTACAATGATATTTGCAATAATTTGACTTAGAAGTATTAATAAACTCAAAGCCTGAATTTCAGTAGCGCTGAGTACTCACAAATCTAATGGAAGTCAATAAGAGCTGTGGATCAGTTCCTAAATAATTAGGCCCTAAAAGTGTAATAACTTTAAAAAACTAGTACAAAAATTCTCCTGACTTTATAATTGCTTGAACTTCCTTAGGTAACTGGAACTTAATTTAGAGTGACTATTTGGTCCATTCATTCCATAGCAATTAAATAATTCCAGTTCCTGATTAAAAGCACAAAAGATATATGAAGAGATTTCATTTTTACTAGCAGAGGATAGGTGATAATTGTGCATGTTTTTCTTATCCATAGTATAATCCAAATATATTTAAGCTTTGGACACTGCTGTGTTTATATCTGTTTATTAGACACATGGATCCTTCAGAACTTGGCACTTGTTCTAGAGTTATTTTTAAAATGACAATTTCCCAGATAATTTCTGGCATGTGATGCCTGATCTTAGGGCAAAGCCATCTGTGCTTCTGTTTGCCAATAATTTATCACACAACTGTACAAACAATACATATTCCATCTACAAATTTAAGCCCACTCCCCACACATACTGTAAGGAATTGCACTGTCTGCTTACATACTGTACATGCAATTAACATATTATCTTCAGTGTTATTTGACTATAAGAATAATTAGTGCAATACAGAATAATTGATCAGTAAAGTACCTTATAGAAGGCCTTGTTGTTTACAATAGTTAATGTTCATTAAGTGTTTTGAATAGGAAAAGTGCTATATGAGTGCTAAGTGCTATTAACAAACCCGGTGTACTCTGGGACAAGATGGACCTAAATTCAATAGCAAGGCATCTAGTTTTCATGCAATACCAATGCAGCAGTCTGGAAACTCTGCAGCAGATTCTGATGAATTAAAAAAAATTGATGTTTTTGCTGACATACATATGAAAATGAGTAAAACACTTTGTATGCAAAGTAAGAGAATCACATTAATTCAATTTATTTTAGTCTGCTGTTGATTTTCAAGGTAAAGTCAATGGGGCCAGGATTTCACCCAAAATGTATAAATAAATCAGAGACCTTGTCTACACAAGAAAGTTGCACTAGTTTGACAAAATCAGTTTCAGATCACACCTTTAATGAAACTAGTGCAACTTTCTTGTGCAGACAAGACCTTAAAAGTTGTCAGGGGGAAGTTGTTTTTGCAGCTTGGGGACAGCTGGGAGTTTTGGCACCAGACAGAGGACGTTGGAGAGGGAAGTTTCTGGCAATAGAGAAGAGATGCATCTCTTTCCCTCCCCTCTGTGGGCAGAGTCAGAGATGACTGTTAGTGTCTATGGAAGTTTGAACTCCTCATTCTCTCTCCCCCAGCCCTCAACTAGCTTGTCCCTTCTGCATCCCTCCTTTCCACTGCAGGCAATCTTTAAACTTGGTAGGGAAAGGGGAGAAAGGGAGCTTTTGCTTTACTCAGATGACTAGGCATGTACTTCTAGCCTGTGAAGTAAAGCAGAAGACGATGATCTTCTGAGACAAAAGCTAAATAATATAAGTATCTATGTACTAAAATGTTTATACACAACTGCACAGAAACAAGCAAACCAAACTGGAAGGGCTACTAAATGATGGAGACTATGATGCAGTAGGCATAACTGGAATTTGGTGGAATGTCAGTATAGATGGGTATAATCTCTGAGCAGCCAAGACTGAGATGGAAGAAAAGGTGTTCTCTGTAGAAACATTTATGGTTCCAACAAGCTGCAGAAGAGAGTGGGGGTGGAATTATTTTAGTAGAAACTCACTGATGAGGCAGAAGTGGCTCACAGGAGCCTCTTGTTAATAGGCCTTTGATGGTAAGGAGAATCTCAGCTATGGTGGCAAGAAGTAAGGGGTCTACTTCTGCAGCAGGAGTCCAAGGGAACCTACAGATGCCACCCTAAACACATTTTTAGGTTAAATAAATCAGTTACATTTGAAATGTAGCCCAAAAGAACCATCTAGCTAACCCTCCTTTAAATCTGCAAGCTGGCCCTGTGTGCAATGGTCTGATAATGGTGGGCACGAGTCAGTTACATTGCAGCAGAGAGGAGATGGCAAAAAACTGTTTCACAAGCCCATCTATATTTACTAAGGCTTGTTAAACTGTTCTGCCTTCTAAGTCTGGGACTACACACTTACAGTCTTCACACTGCATGTACGCCTGCTATTGCAGTGGTTGAAGCAGATGCTGCAAGGGAATCTTCCCTTTAAGGAGCACATGGAAGATGTACCACCTCATCCCCACAACCGACCCATCCCTGTTAGCTGCTGCAGCAGCAGACTAGGCAGAGTACAGGCAGGGGCCAGCCTGCTGCTGCACTGACAGTCTGGCAACCCTCCCCTCTCAGTGCCAACGGGACCAGTTCCAGCCTAGATTCTGAAGAACCTCTACTGAGAGGGAGCCTGGAGCCTCACTACCTCTCCCTGACTCCCACCGGAACCCCAGTCCCTGACACCAGCTAGGGAAGACCACCAACAGTCAGGATAAAACTGCCCTCCTCAAAAACCAAAGAAGACCCATTCCTCTAACTACCCAGCCCACCAACACAGAGGATCTACTCCCCATCCCCTATCTCAGCCCACCAATTTGTGTGTTTCTCCTTTAAACATCTCCAGGCTTCATTCCATACCACCTGTTGGGCATATACTACTCACCCTAATTTAATCCAGAAAACCAGTCCCTCTGCCCCTCCAAATCCTCCTCAAGACCCATTTCTGCTGTGACACCTACAAGAAATTGGTCTAGCCGTGATGGCTACACTGAGCAGGCATCTTGGAGGGCTGATTTAAGTTAGTTTATTAAGGAAAGAGAATCATATAATTCAGAGCCATCTAGTTGTGCATATAACTAGCCAGTGTAACCACATGATCTTAATATTGTTATCCTTGTCTTACCTTGTCTTCAAGCCATGGACCATGTCTTTCCATGTGTTTGTGCAGAGCCTAGCTTTACCAAACCTCGATCCCAACTGGGGGCTTACATGCTAAAGCACTAAATAAATAGATTTTTTTTAGAGGAGAGTATCTTACCCAAGGAATGTTATGTGTGTTGTTAAACCCAAGCAGAAACTATCGAAGCAGCGCCTTGTTGCAGTGGAATAAGATATGCTTGATATCACTGAAATAGCTGTAAGAGCCTCTATATTTGTAATAAGTTAAAATTTGAGGCCTGTGGAGTGAAAGCTGGGGAGGAAGTCACCCATGGAAGACTAACAGAACACAACGAGCTTAGAGGGATTTGATGGAGTAGGGTGAGGTTGTGTGGTATGTAGGTTTGAGTTTCAATGCTATTATGGTATCATGGGTTTCAAGTTCAGAGAATTCTCTTATTTTATAGTTTCTTATCTTGAACTTACATTACACAACATTCCTCTATGTTACCCCTGTAAATTCTGCCTTATTACTATCTATGGCAGAAGCAGCTGCCTCTAAGGCTGCATCTTCACTGACAAAAAAAAGTGTGTTTTTAGCACAGAATAATTAACATCCATTAGCTATCCTGCTGCAAAAACATAGTGTAAAGAAGGCACTCCATGAGATAAACTAGGCCAGGCCAACCCCAGGTAGGAGGTATAGCACTGATCTCACCTACTACCTCACAGTAAACACTATAAATGCCGTGTCTCCACTTAGTATTTTACAGTGAGATAACTACCACACATTAGTTCTCTCTATATAAAAAAAGAAACGGTTTTGAGTCGGTGAAGACAAAGCCTAAGTCTTTCTTTATACAATGTTCCCATCATTTATTCACCATTAAATAGCTGTTTTACATTCTTTTACTCCTTAGCTAGTAGCAACATTCTCAACTGCTCTGAATAAATGCAGTGCCAATGCCATGGGGCTCCCGCAGAGAAGCCCCACAGGGGCTCAGCAAGTAGGGACGATGCCATGGAAGTGATACTCCACCACACCTATGCCCATGAACAGGGGATCAACTGGATCTAAGACTATGTCTACATGACAGCCTATATTGCAAAACTTATGTCGCTCAGGGGTGTGAATATTCCACCCCCTGAGAAACATAAGTTACATTGACAAAAGGGCTTGTGTGCACAGAGTTGTGTTGGGAGGAGAGTTTCTCTCACCAACATAGCTTCTGCCACTCACCGAGTAGGGTTTTTTATTCTGACGGGCGAGCTCTCTCCTGTTGGCATGGAGTGTCTTCACTAAGGCCTTGTCTACACTAGTAAGTTTCTGTGCAGTGAAGCAGCTTTCTGTGCTCTAACTCCCGAGGTGCACACACGGCCAAGCCACGTAGTGCACAGAAACTGCGCAGTCGTAGCGCTGTAAAAAGAACACCCCGACGAGAGGCGTCCAGCTTTCTGTGGTGGGGCTACAGCGCCGCGGTGCCAGTGTAGACACCCTGCTCAATTTCAGCCCTGCGATTGGCCTCCAGGAGGTGTCCCACAATGCCTGTTCTTGCCTCTCTGGTCATCGGTTTGAACTCTACTGCCCTGTCTTCAGGTGACCAACCGTCATCCCAACCCCATAAATTCCTTGGGAATTTTGAAAGTCCCCTTCCTGTTTGCTCGGTGATGCATGCAGTGGTCTCAGTGCATCTTTCCAGGTGGCCACACCTGCTCCACGCACCAGGTGATCTCCCACTTGGAGCAATGCCGAGCCGCT